CTTACACATCCTATTACCACATAATCGTGTTAAAATACATATCACCTTAATTTTGTTCTCCTTGATTTCAGCATGGTTTCTATTATTGAAAACCCATGATATCAACAAAAAATTCAAAGCAGAAAATAATTCAGTCATAAAAGTGTTAAGAGTCTTGTTGCTGAGACCACAGGGTCAGCATCCACAGGGAGAAACACACGCTCTCAAGCTCTACCCCAGACCTGTTGATGGTTGAACCTGAAGTCCAGGGAATTCATAGGCACTGATGTGCATGCAAGGAGCACTGGTTAGGAGAAGGGTACCTGGAGCTGTTATGCCCAGAATTCGGGGTCCCCAAAGACCACCCAGGAGCCGTGTACCGATGCAAATACATAAGGGTAGTTTAATCAAGCTCGAGCCAGGTCTCTAACCTTATCCAACGCAGCAGAATAGGGAAAGAGCCCTGAATTCATTGTCTGCAGGGTTTTTATAGAGTTTTCAAACAGCTCAGGTTTCTCAGCTTTACAATCTTTGGATTGGTTAACAATTGGCAAACTATGAGATGTTACAGTTTAATTGGTCAGGACTGGTAGTCTTTGTTTTTAGGCTAGGGTAAAGGAAAACATCTGGCCTCTGGCCTTGAGCTGCCTGGCTATTTATACATATATCATTTTCTTGGAGCTAGAGGACGTGTTCAGGCTAATGAACAGAATGGAGATTGACCTTGTCTCTGGAGGGAACTAAAACTGAGGCCTTGTCTATTTAAAATGCTTTCCTGAGCCTGACTAGAGTTCAGTCAAGCAGTCTCTAGGTAGGCAAAATCAGGTAAAATCAGTTTGGTCCTTACAGAGCCAGGTAGGATTGGGTTTGAGTCTTGGTTTGTCCCTGCCTCTCTCTCATATGCCTTAACCTCTATTTGTTCATCTTTAAAATTCACATAATAAAAACATCTACCTTCCAGGATTATTGTGAGGATTAATGGTAGCCTGGGACTTGTTACATACAAAATGCAAAAATTAGAACATGTTATGCATAAGGATGGAACTTAGACCAGGACCTGGAACAATGTAAGTGTTAGTTGTTGTTGTTAGGTGCCATCGAGTCGGTACCGACTCATAGCGATCTTACACTGTCTGTGCACAGCACAACAAAACACTGGCCAATCCTGGGCCAACCTCACTACTGTTACCACACTTGAGTCTATCGATGCTGCCACTTGACCAATCCATCTCGTTGGGGGTCTTCCTCTTTTTCTCTGACCCTCTATGGTACCAAACATGATATCTTTCTCCAGCAACTGGTCCTTCCTGACAATATGTCCCAAGTATGTGAGACGAAGTTTGGCCATCTTGCTCTCCAAGGAGCACTCTGGCTGCACTTCTTCCAGAAAGGATCTATTGGTTCTTTTGGCAGCCCATAGCACTTTCAATATTCTCCTCCAACACCATAACTCAAATGCACAAATTCTTCTACGGTCTTCTTTATTCACTGTCCAGCTTTTGCATGCATATGAGGTTATTGAAAATACCATGTTTAGCACTTGTTAAATTTTATTATTAGAAAAAATGATAATTTAACAACTATTTTTTGAATGATTCCCAGATGCCAAACATAAGTGATCTCACTATGAACCAACAGGAGTCAAAAATATCAGACTGGCCTTGTGAGTTGATGTCTGAGTGATACCTACAAATGGCAGAATAGTTGCTTTGATTACAACAAAATAACCTTAGGTTCTCAATAAGCATTTGTTTGGTTGACCTATTTGATACGTTTTAGCTATTATTATTACTAGAGAAATGATTAAGTTGAGGCTTATCTGTCTTCTTATAGTTAAAGACTAGGTTGTCTATCAACAACAAAATGGCCTTAGGGCTCTGTAACCATCTGTTTCACTGACGTGAGTAAATAGTGGAATCACTTTCCTTAAGGACAAGATTAAGCCCACACTCCTCCGTATACTGAAGCGGGAGCTCTTCCTCTCAGCTGCACCATTCTTTGGCACAACTCTTTTGCTCACTGGTTGCAGCTCCTTTGTTCCTGACGTCACTCAGCAATGTTCTTGGCTTGGTGTAAGCACTCACTAAACCTTAGCTCTTGTATTATTATATTAGTTCCTCTCACCATGCCTGTGCCCAGGCACTTTTTTTCTGGATGCTTTCTATACTGGGCCAATTCCAAAGTGGTGTTTGAGGTCCAGTCATGTACGTGAAAAACAAAAATTCTCTTCCCTGTAAGCATTTTCTCACTTACACTTGGCCTTGCACTGGAGTAAACAAGTTTGGTCTCAGTCATATTTCTAATGCAACTGTAACAGAAATACCATGAGTGGGGGGCTTTAAAGAAAAGAAATCTATGTTCTCACAGTTCTGGAAGCTGAAAGTCTGAATTCAGGACACAGCTCTGGGGAAGGTTCCTCCTTATTAGGAGTCTCCAGAGTCCCTGAATGTTCCCTAGCATCACTTGGTGTCTGTCTTCTCTCTGTGTTCATGTCTCTGTGACTATTCATTCTTCTTATAGCTCAAAAGTAGCTTAGGATCTACCCTACACTGGTATGGTATGGTATAATTAACATAACAAAAGAAAACCCCTGTTTTCAAATGGGATCATATTTAGAAATAGGAATAGGATTTCAACACATATTTTCAGGGGTGCAGGCAGTGGGCAGGAAACATAATTCAGTCCATAACAATCTTCTGTGTAGACATGAGCTCTGAGAGGGAGAGTTGGAACTGAGTGTTAGTGGTCCTTGTGTCCTCCAGACCCCACTCTCTCAGTAGATGAAGTAGTTGTTGAAAGGAGTTGCTAAAATTTTTTTATGAATTTTACAAAGAGCAAGTTTAACAGACATACTGCCATGCTCAGTGTTGGATCCAGGGGCTCTCCAGGGTTACCTGAGAAATTGCCAGAGCGAGTTCAAGCGTTTCATAGTAGGATTTTGTGATTCTCTCTTGAGAAGGAGTGGTGCAAAAGAAAGGGGAATTACTAACAGGAAATCCTAAGAAACATTAGGAAGAGGCACTTAGAAGAATCAACACATTCTGGAGAGGTAGCAGCGTCTCAAGTGCCATAGGCCACTCTAAGAATGATGGCCTTGCCAACCTCCTGAATACAGCCAAGCTTGGAGCTTGGAACTCCTTAGATGGGGCTATTGAGAAATCAAGAAGCCACACTGTGGGAGCTGTGTCCTTTACATGTTGAAAATCCACCCACACACTTATATAGATATGCACACACACTACCTTATACACATACTTATACCATACACACTGATACACACTTAAATCTAGAAATTCAAATGCATGTCAATATACAAATCAGAGCCCAGGCAAAATAAGAAAATTGGAAAGTGTACTGCAGGAAGATAGGATGAAGGAAGAAGTACTCATAGAGGTATTCAGTCAAGGAAGAAAGAATGTGAAGGGGACGGACAGGTAGGCTTTTTCAAGCACATGAAGGCCTGATGTATGGAAGACGTATTTAAAGTTTTCTGACCAAACTTAAAAGGAAGAACTATGACTAGTAATTGGAAGCTCCAGGAACAGAGATTTCACCTCAGACACAGGCAGGCTTTGGGGGTTCAGATTCTAGAGTCGACATTTAGACTTATCTCTCTTGGGTCCCGGGGAGCATGTCTCCATGTAATAAGCATTGGACTATGATTTGAGTCTGTCAGCAGCTCTGCTCCAGTACAGATTTAAATAAAAACAAATACTCTAGGAAACCCTATACAGGGTCACTGTGAGCAGGAACTGACTCAAAGGTACTTACCAACTCCTGGGTCCAAGACCTGATTCTGTCCCTTAAAGCTGAGTGATTGTGGACAACTCATTTAATCTCTTTAATCCTGTGTTTCCTCATCTGTGAAACGGGCTATCAAAGTACCTGAAATCCTTGGGCAGTGTAAATGGTAATGCACTTGACTGCAAATGAAAGTTTGACGGTTCAAGTCTACCTAGAGGCATCTTGGGAGAACATCTTGGTGATCGGCTTCTGAAAAATCAGCCATTGAAAACCCTATGGAGTATATTTCTACCCTGGCACATACAGAGAGGTCCTGAGCTGGGCTCAACTTGATCGCAACTGATTAGGCTACATTGATTGCTTCATTGCCTAGAAAAGCTCTATGGAGCATAGCTCTACTCTGACACACATGGTGGTGTGGTGATGTAGATACAGTTGGTTCAAATTCATAGTGACCCTATGTAGGGTTTCCGAGGCTGTAAGTCTTTATGGGAGCAGAAAATCTCATCTTTCTCCCATGGAACAGCTGGTAGATTTGAATGGCTGACCTTGCAGTTGGCAGCCTGGCTCATAACCCACTATGCTATCAGGTGGCTATGAATTGGAGTCAAGTTGGCAGCACCTAGGTTTTATCATAGTGTCTGCCTATCAAAGGACTCCTGGTGTGGTGCCCATAGGGTCAGCATTGAATTGCAAACCACAAGGGCTGCAGTTCAGACCCAGCAGTTGACCCTTGGAAACCCTGTACAGGGTCTTTATGAGTCAAAACCAACTCCATGGCACTTAACAACAACAACAACAACAACAAGCTATAAAACCACCAGGGAGCACAGTTCTCTAAAACACATGGGGTCACCATGAGTCAAAGCTGACGACAATTGTTTCTCATTAGATTTAAGTGATCTAGTGCATATCACAGTGCCTGTTTATGGCTTCAGTCTCAACTGACCCTGGAATCTCCTCTGTAGTTGTGCCTGGCCGTTGGGCTCATTGCTTGCACTTTGATATAAGAGAAGCTCCTGAGAACTGTTTTCCAGACCGTGTTCCCAGGATTGTTGTTGTTGGTAAGTGCCCTCGAGTCAGTTCTGACCCATAGCAACCCTGTATAGGGTTTTCAAGGAGCAGCTGGTGAGAATGAACTGCCAACCTTGCAGTTTAAACCAACTTTGCAGTCCAGCGCATTAATCCACAGCACCACACCAGGACAGACCTTCTCAAAGAGTGAAGCCCATAGTCAGTTCTTACTAATAGGAAGTCTTCCTTTAACCTTTCTACAGCCTCCTGGAAAGCGGCCAGCTGGTTGGTCGATACAAGCAAAAGTGGACGTGTATCTGTGGCTGGGCTCCACTAGACACTCCAGTGCCATTTTGGACAACTTGCCAACAGGTTATGAAGCAGAAATACCCTCCAAAGCAACTGCTGCCAATCACCCTCCAGCCAACCTGCTCTACCAAGGTATGATGCCTACTGGGCAAGATGCCATTCAATGTCTCTGAGAGAACAGGGAGGAGGAAAACGTAGCATGGATTGTTGGCATATAACTTGAGGATCAACTTAGTTGCCTTCTATTAATATAGTGTCTACATTATCTTCCTTACTGACCAATGTCTCATCTAAATAGAATGAGGTGAAGTCATAAACCACAGTTGGCATACAAATGCATGCTTTTATATTAGTGGAGGGAAAGCAATCTGAATTTCTCTACAAGTTGAGTTTTCATTTTATGCAAAAGATGTCTTTCACTAAAATGCCAGTAAATACTTGTGTTGATGGGACTTGTGAGTAATCAAAGCAGGTTTTTCTTTTTACAGGGTATTGGTTTTTATTTTTCAATTTTGGTAAAAATATCTAACATAAAATTTGTCCTTGTCACCATTTTTCAGTCTACGATTCAGTGGCATTTAATTACATTCACAATGTCCTGCAACCTTCACTACTGTTTCCCACAATTCCTCACCCTAATCAGAAACCTTGTGCCCATTAAGCAGTAACTCCCATCCACGAGCTGCGAACCTCAAGGTCAGCAGTTCGAAACTACCAGCTGTTCCCACGGGAGAAAGATGAGGCTTTCTGCTCCTGTAAAGATTTACAGCCTTGGAAACTCTATACAGGGTCACTATGAGTCAGAACCTACTCACAGCATGTAACAACAACAACAACCCTCCTCCTAGCTCCCGGTAACCTCGTTCTGTCTCTATGAATTTGCCTGTTCTAGATGTTTTATATAAGTGGACAGTACAATATTTCTCCTTCCGTGTCCTGCTTATTTCATTTAGCTGCGTTCTTGTCAAAGATTGTATCAGAACTCGGTTCCTTTTTATCTGATTGACCTTTCCGAGATGACCCAAAGGAAATTGGCAATAGCATGGTCACCCATCTTTCTCTGGCTTGGTTCTTGGCTGCTTCTAAAAATTCAACTTGCTTTATGTAATCTTTCCCTCCATGTAATTATTTTCTATGAGTGCCTTCATATTTTCATGCAACTTGAATTTCATCATTAACATTAATGCCTTAGAGTTGCCTTTTTCTTTGTGTAAATCACCTCATATGCATAATCTAGTGCTGCTGAATCTAGATAAAAGCAGACTGGAAAAACATGTAAAGTTTTAGCTGCGTGTTTGTTGAGGTTGTGTTCTGAACTGAGTATAATGTTGGGAACACTGGAGAATCATCCATATGTCCAGGTGTCTGTGCTGCACAAGGTCCCTCTGATACTGGTGGACCTCGGCTACCCTAGCCCAATCATTACAAAGACAAGGTCCTGGAGCTATTTATCCAATGGTCCACTTCATGGTTTCTGTTCCCAGAGTCAGTGCATAAAAGTTAGGGAATTCCAAAATGTCCTCCAGGTTCATTATGCTGAGTGAAATTAGTCAGTCATAAAAGGACAAAGATTGTATGAGACCACTCTCGTAAAAAGTTAAGAAAAGGATTTGTTGATAAAAAGAAGCATTCTATTATGGTTACCTGGGATGGAAGAATACTCACTGGCAAGAGGGTAGACTTTGGAGTTCTGTACCATAAGCACTGATTTCTAATCACAAGGTTGCTGGTTCAAACCTACTAGCTGCTCCTGGAAAAATCTGTACAGGATTGCTATGATTAGGAACCGACTCAATGTCATTGAACAACAACAGAGGGTAGACACACGTTGACTTGGGTGACAGGGAAGGCTATAAACAATGAGAGAGGTAGATAGAGGGACGATGAAGATCCAGGGAGGAATGCAAGAGTTAAGGTGAATAGGGGTAAATACTGTTAACAAATGGTACATGGAGGGGTTCGCGATCATTGTAATGAAACGAATTATATGATTTTGATGAATGTAAAACTGATGATCTGCTCTGTAAACCATCAGTCAATTAAAAAAAAAAGCTTAACAAAATCATAAAAAGCAAGAAAATCCCAGCCTTGCTCTTTCTTTGGAAAATGCATAGCAGTTACCCTAAGCATTAATGTAGGATTGAATGTAGTTCTCACCTCATCCCTGGAAGTTTTCTTCATTTTACAGATGAAAAGAGTAAACATCTTTTCATCTGGTATCAGAGATACCCAGAAATTGTTCAAGAGCACACAGCAAAGAAATGATGGGGTGGGCAAACTATCCCCTAACCCTGCTTTTCCCCACTGCCTTCCATCCTTTGGAAACAACACGGCGCTATTCTGTTCTTGCAGATACGATCTGTAGAGACCCAAGGGACCCAGGTGTCTTTGCTGTCCTACTGACTAACAATTCTGAGGGAGGAAAGACTTTTCCAAAAGGATTTGAATTGCTGCAGTGTGTCAGGGAGTTAACTCACAAACTCCTCCCTACACTCACCCTGCCATGGATGGATTTAGATTGCCTCTCACGCCTGCTGGAGAATTTTGTTTCTTCAGCCATTTTTTGCTTCCAAAAAATAGTCATTTGGCAAATGTTAGTCTTCACCTCTTAGGGATAAAAGGATCTCTAGTAGTGTAGTGGTTATGAATCAGGCTGCGAACCGCAAGGTCAGCAGTTCAAAACTACCAGCTGTTCTGCAGGAGAAAGTTGAGGCTTTCTGCTCCCATAAAGATTTACAGCCTTGGAAAACCCTGTACAGGGTCGCTATGAGTCAGAACCGACTCCACGACACATAACAACAACAACAACAACAGTAGCATAGTGGTTATGAGTCGGTGCTAATCTCAGTCAGCAGTTCAAAACTACCAGCAGTTCCATTGGAGGAAGATGAGGTTTTCTGCTCCCAGAAAGATTTATAGCTTCAGAAATCCTATACAGGGTCTCTATGAGTTGGAACCAACTCCAAGGCACATCACCATCACCACCTAGAGAGGAAGTATGGTAGAAAACTCATGGGACTGTGGAGAAAGAGAGGATCCTGGTGCTCAAAGTGGGGTATTGGACATGTCTCTAGGAAGTAAAAAGGAGATGTGCACCACACACAGGGATAAATTACCTCAGTGTGAGGAGAGCAAAGAGGAGGCAGATTCAATTAGTTCAGGGAACAGACTTGGTGTAGGACTCAACATTTCAAGGGGTAGGGGAAGCCAAGCCTAGACTGAGCAAATAGCACCCCTGGAGATGTGCTGTATGGCAGTATTTGGGAACCCTGGTGGGTGTTCACAGGAGCGCTGGTGATACAGTGGTTAAAGCACTTGACTGCTTACCAAAAACTTGGTGATTGAAACTCACCAGCAGTTTCAAGGAGCAAGACAATGGCAGTCAGTTTCTGTAAAGATGTCCAGCCTTGGCCACCCTATGGGGCACTTCTACTGTGTCCTGTAGGGCTGCCATGAGTCCAAATCAACTGGACAGTTGTGAGTTTTGGGGTGAGTTAGATGTTCTCAGGGAGGCAAAACATTCCCAAGTTCACTTTCCTATGGGGAATGTGCGTGACTGTGTAGTGTGTCAGGGGACAGTTGGACTACTACCAAAGACTTTCTGCATCTGCTGACCATTCCTGGGGTGGTGTTGTGGGATAAGGAATGGACTGCAAACTACAAAATCGGCAGTTCAAGCCCATCAGCTGCTCCTTGGAAACCCTATACAGGGTCACTGTGGCTTGGAACTGACTCAACAGCACTTAACCACTTAACAAGCTGAGCATTCCCTTGTTTCTGCTGCCATTTTCAGGAGCTCTCTTGTTAGCAGGGCCCAGCCGTTCCACTCTAGTTTATGCATTTCTGCTCCCATAAAGGTTTATGGTTTATGAGCGATGGGAATGTCAGGAGACACTTGGGACCCAGTCCCAACAATAGCTTCTCTGCTTCTCTCAGAGATCTGGTCAGAGCTTGGAGCACCTTGCACAGCAAGTAGCTGGACTTCATTTGGGAATGTGCAGACTCAAGCTTCTCAACCCTTTGCAGGCTAAGAGTGGGGACACAGATGGCGTTTGCAGTCTCGGGCTCCATACTGCTGCTGTGTAGCCAGACAGCGGCATGGGACAGACGGATAGAAACTTGTCCAGACCTCAGGGCAATCAAGTGAGGAGTCTTCTTTGATGCCCTTTGCCCTCCCTGCCCTCCTCCTCGCAATCCAGGGGCCAATTCCTGTGGAGTCACATCTGTCGCATCTTTCCTCCCCTTCTATTCATTTCAGGCCCACCAACACTACTACTGCACTCAACCTGCCCTTAAACCTCCCACTCGGAGCAGTGATGTTGTCTCTTATTGATGTCCTTCCAGCCATTACTTGCCTGACTCATAGTCTCATCGTCCTAAACATTTCTCTGTTCTCCACAACTCATGGGCAAAGACCTTCAAGAGCTCCCAAAGGCTTCCTAAATTGGGCTCAATGCCTCACTCCAACCTCCAAGCTCTCAACAGTATGGTGACATCTGCTTTGCTCTGGGACCCTCTACTCTAGCTCATATCATATTCTGTCTCTTAATATGGCTTGGCATTTTTGTCCTTGTCTTGACCCACCCTGTTCCAGCCACCTGGAAATTTCTCCACAGCCCTGCCGACACCCATCCCTGCCTATCAAATGCCTTCATCTCTAGGGCTCCCCTCCAAAGGCAGTGCCACCTGCCCTGAAATCAGTCCCCTTTTAAGGTGAGTGTGCTTTGGCAAACCTGAACTGACCATGTATCCTTAATACATGAGAATAGTATTGTGTTACATATTTCTTGCCCCACCTACTTTTTTCCCACTAAGCCCCCAGTTGTTGAAGTCCAGCCATGTTGCTTGCTCCCTGACATGCTTCCTGTCCCCTACCCCAGTGGTGGACACTCAGGCTGGGCCTCTGCTGAAATGCCAAGTAGAATGCCGTTCCACGTGCGTGGATGAACAAATGAGGAAACACACCCAGGTCACACTCACGAGATTAGATTACAATCAGTATCACTGACAGTGGTGCTAACAGCCTCCCACCTCTTCTCAGGGTCTTCCCATGGGCCACACATGGTTCCCAGCCCTTCAATCTTCAAAACAACCCTCTGAGATAGAAACTAGCATTACCTGCATTTTGCAGGTGAGGAAACAAAGGCACAGAGAGGCTGAATAACCTAGCCCAAGTGCCTGGATGGGCCTGTGAGACCTGAGCCTAGAAGTAGCATCAGGAGGCTATGGACTTAGATTGCTGTGTGAGAGTACCTGTATACCAATTCCATGTCAACACCAACTCCCACCGAACCCAGCACTGCAGTTGCCTTTGGGAGAGGAAGGCAACAAGAATGGGTAAGGGTGTAAAAGAGAATAAAGGAATGTATAAAACCAAGAGGAGCTCTGTAAGGGCCAATTGTCAGAAAGCACAATAGATCCGTGAATACGATGAAGTCAACTTTACTGGAGGTTTCCCCACTAAACCCCAGTCTGACCTATAGCCTCCTCTCTGACTCCCTTTGGTCAGACAGGGGTGCTCGTTCCTGCCTTTAACTCCTCCACCTGCACCCGTTCACACACACTATTGACCTGTCTGGTTCACAGGACATTTACATCTTAGTCTCCTGTCAGTATACTCTGGGTGCTTCTCTATCTTCTGGAAGCTCATCAAGAACATCATCTGATGCCTTAAAGACTGAACTGTACCAAGTACACAGTTATCGTTGTTGCTAAGTGGTGTCGAGTTGGTTCCAACTCATAGTGACTCTGTATAGGGTTTCTGAGGAGTGGCTGGTGGGTTTGAATTTCTGACCTTGTGGTTAGCAGTCCAGTGCTTATCCTACAGCATCACAGACACTCAAAATGACATTGGCTGGACCAATGGATGAATGGATGATTCAAAACCTGTACTGGCTTTATTGAAGTAAGAATTGGTTACGGAATAGCCCCCTTTACACCCATACACCCCTGCACTACTGGACACAGGAGAGAGAGACACTGAATTGAACAGAGGAAAATACAGAAGTTTAGAAAGAAAAGTAGATTCTGGAATTAGATAGAGTTCAAATCCTAGTTAACCAGCCGTGGTACTGATTAATTGTGCAGACATGGTGAGGCAGCCTAACCTTTCTGTGAGGCACTTTTCGCACCTGCCACATGTGGATAATCATGTATTCTTCTCAGGGTTGCTGTGAGGACTAACACACACCTTGGTGAAAACCCAGGGAGAATGCCTGGCTCACAGGAAGGACCTCTTAGTTATCGGCCACGACCCCTTTCTTCCCTGCTTCCATTCCCATCTCAAAGGCAGGAACTGCTCCCGGTCTCCTTGGAACACACCCACAGACACAAACACACCTTCACACACACCGTTCCTAATAAGCCCAGTAACTCCTGTTCCTTTTCATTGTTTATCCACAGCCCGACATCTCTTCCAACTGAGGGCTCACATGTACCAGGCCCGGGGCCTCATTGCGGCTGACAACAGTGGACTTTCTGACCCCTTTGCCAAAGTCACCTTCCAATCCCACTGCCAGACCACAAAGGTAAGCAGGGCAGCCCAGCCTGGCTTCCCCCACTGGGAGTGTGAGTCCACGCCAGGACTCATGTAGGTGCTCAGTTTCCAAGCAGAGGTGTGCACAGAAGGACTGAGGTGGGAGGGAGAAGGAAGATGGGAAGGGAAATAAGGATGAGGGAGGAGCAAAGGACTCTGGTTCTGCTGCTCTCCTGCTAGGAAACACCAAGTAGATGCCAGTACCTCAGGAATGAACCCTGTTAGAGCATACCCAGAATACACTCACAACGCCCACTCCCAGGCCCATGGAGGGCTCAGCTAAGGGGCTTTGAGCACTTTGAACCCCCTCTGTGCTTCAGTTTTGCTATCTGCTGGAAAGTACTGCCTTGTGTGGTTATCTGGGGTTAAAGGAAGTGGATCAGATACTGACTTCCATCAGTCTCTCTCCTTGTTATGCACCTGGAGCTGAAATGTGGAGGGTCTACAGTCCACCTGAGTCTCTGTGCAATGCTTTCTTCGTTAGATCATGTTCTCTCAGGATTTATTCTCTCTCAGAAGACTGGCTCTGCAAATTTCTCCTTTATGAAATGACTTTGTGGCTCAGACTATTTCATAGCAAGGTGGCTGAGAGTGTGGGACTTGGGAATCTTGGAGAAAGTTCCCAAAGAGGAAGGCTTTGGAGGGTGAGGATGAAGGCGAGAGGGCCAAAGAGATATGGTGTTGGAGGAGGATATTGAAAGTGCCATGGGCTGCCAAAAAACCCAATAGGTCCATTTTGGAAGAAGTGAAGCCAGAGTGCTCCTTGGAAGCCAAGATGGCCAAACTTTGCCTCTCATACTTCAGACATATTGTCAGAAGGATATCTTTTTTGGTAAGGTGGAGGGACAGAGAAAGAGAGGAAGACGCCCAACGAGATGGATTGGCCAACTGGCAGTATCGATGGACTCAAGAGTGGCAACAGTAGTGAGGTTGGCCCAGGATCGGGCAGTGTTTCATTCTGCTTTTGCATAAGGCTGCTATGGGTCGGTACCGACTTGATGGATGGCACCTAACGACAACGACAGATCAACTGCCAAACCAGTGGGAATCCTGACCCAGTCAAGCTGACGCAAAACCTAACTATCACAAGTATATGTGCTCTTCAGTTAATTATAGGATAGTCATAGGACATCAATGGCAGGACAGACTTTTCTGGGAACCTACTATTTAAAGTTACTTTCTAAAGCATGTCTGTTTCTGGGGATTCGTTGTAAAGAAGATTTATCCATGATGCTGTGATCAAGATCCTTGGGCATAGTCTTTTGCATCCTGCAGCTGTTTGACCATAGAGGAGAGACACCCTGGGATCCGCCAGGCTTCAGAGAAAATACTTCCATTAGGGTATTTCAGTATGTCAGCACAAAGATTAGAGAAACTGCTGTTAGAAAAGGCAGCTTTAAAATTCCACATGGATTCTAGTCTCATAACAGGATTTGAAGATGAACTTAAGGCTCTGCTTTCAGTGTTCTATTTATACACACCAAGTGCTTCTGAGTTAAACTCCCATACGAAAGCCATGCTCTGTCCCTAATCTCTCATACTCTCTTATACTGTTAGCTAACTGTCATAACCTCCCAGTCAATGTCACTGAACCCAGCTACAGTGCATAAATGCTTTATAGAAAGCCTTTAAGAAATGCGACTAACCATGGATGTCAGACAGAGAAGTGGGGGAGAATGTGGTTTTAGTTGGATAGTCCTCAAGATTCTTTAAAGGTGGTCCTTCCACTCATGGGCCAACTCTGAGAACAGATCAACATCCACTCATTCATTCATGCAAATATTTATTGAGGACTTTCTGTGTTTGAGATGTGCTCAGCACATTGTTGGTCTTAATAAATAAATATGTGTTGAATGAATGAGTGATTGAACAGATGGATGGATGAATAAATGGTCAAGACAGATGGATGGATAGATAGATGGATGCTGGCCCCTGGAAGTTTATCAAGTGACATTTAACAGCCAGAAGTATCAAGGAAGCCATCAAAAGACTCCCACAGGGAAGACAGTGAAGATTATGAAACTGCTTTGGCATCACACTTGTCAGGTGCTGAAGAGACCCCATTTCTATATTTTAAATGAAAATAAAACATAAAGATTTTATGATGTCAGTTACTGACATGGGGTGACTTTGTTCTGCATTTCATAACTTCTGGCTCCAGGTCTGCTGGAGTCATTCTCCTCTGGCAGAAAAGTTAGAGATTTTCCCTGACATGTCAGGTGGAGAGTTGGGTGAATAAAGAATGATGAATATACATCATTGCTTCCAAGGCACAAAATACTCTAAACGCAAGAAGGAAAGGGCAACGTGAAAGTTTATGGCATTTTTATGATTGGAAAAGCATTAAAAATACTCTTTCTTGACAACAGTGCACATGATTTAATGCTGCGAGTAGGGAAGGCTCTTGGAAAACTCCTCTGAGGGGCTAGCAGTTTGATTGGGGCTTTGGAGTCTGGGCAGTTTCTCCAGTGCTTCCTGCAGTGAACAGCGAGGGGTCAGGGTGCAGGCAGAGGACTGTGGGTGTTTCCCAAGGACCTGTGGCAGCTCCCATTTGCCAGCTCAGCCAGGGAGAGGGAGAATGAGATTGGGACCTGCAGGACTGACCCTTCTGTCTCCAGGACTGACCTCATATACTGATGGGGCAGCTTCTGTTCTGCCGGAGCCCTCCAACCCTGCAAACAAGCTCAGCCTCTGGCTCTGCATCTGGCATGGTTGCAGACATCCAATAACAGAGCAGAGGAAGCAAGTCCAAATAGACCCTGCCTGGAGGTACAGTGGCTAAGCACTTAGTTGGCTGCTAAGCAAAAAGTAGGCAGTTCAAATCCACCAGCCGTTCCATGGCAGAAAGATGTGACCACCGTCTGTTTCTACAATCTGTAAAGGTTGTGGGCTTGGGAACTCTTTAGGGAGTTCTCCTCTGTTCTGCAGGGTTGGAAACAACTCAAAAACAGTAAGTTTAGGGTTTTTTTTTCTTTTTCCAAAGATGGCTTGAATGGCCTGGCAGGGGGCTTGGAGTGAGACACTCTTGATGCTAGAGCAGTCCAGTAGGTGATTGTCCGTCTTTGTCCTTGGGTTTTTCCATCTGCCTAACAGTTACTGCTAACTACCAATGTCACAGTTGGCTCCCAAAAGCAAACCTCATGAGAGAAAGAGAGCTGTTTGTGCAAATGCTGAGGGGTGTCTTGAAAACCCTGGTTGGTTCATTACTGTCAAATCAATATTCACTAAACAGTAGACTTCAGTATAAGGAATTTAGATTGAAACTCCATTTAAGGGATTTGATGATGCAAAGTAATCTTCTTATAAATGAAGAATCAATAGATCTCTTCCCATCCTCAGTTCACCTCTCTATAAAATAAGCTCCTATTGACATCCACTTGCTGGGGTGCTTGAATTTAGCAGCTTGGCTTTGGTACCAGATGACCTAAGTTGAGTCCCTGTCCTACTTCTTGCTCGCTCTGGATTTATCTCAGTTTCTTGGCCTATAAAATGTGGGTAAATAACTGTAGCCACCTCCCAGAATTGTGTGAAGTTTGAATGACATCATGCACAAAAAACAGAGGAGTCAGCACATAGGAAGAGATCAGTAAAGGGTATTGAGTTCATCTCATGTACTCTGGACATATTATCAGGAGGGACCGGTCCCTGGAGAACAACATAGGGCTTGGTAAAATAGAGTGTCAGAGAAAAAGAAAACCCTCATCAATATGGGTTAGCATGGTGGCTGCAACTGTGGGAGGAGCAATGATTGTGAAGATGGTGGAGGACGAGGTGAGGGTTTGTTTTACTGAACAGGGGGTCACATGAGTCAGAACTGACTCAACAACACCTAGCAACAAGAACAGTATTGTCATCCTAGCACTGTTGTGAGATGGAGTTGAAATTGTGTTTGTAAGTAGTCTGTTAACCATTGTAGGGGATAGCTCATGATACATAATAAGGACAAAGCTCCTTGAGGGCAGGGGATCTTTGTGTCCCTTAGCATCAAGCACATAGCTCAATGTATGTTGTTGCTTAAAGTTGAATCAATGAGGGATGATGACGAAGATATGGTGTCTTTGCACCCCCCATGCTTACATGTTGACTATGCCTTGGAGTCCCCTCCAACCAATCGAATGATCTTTGGCTCTGCTCTTGACCCCACCTCCCAGGTCATTTCCCAGACCCTGTCCCCTACCTGGAACCAGATGCTGCTGTTCAGTGACCTGGTACTGCACGGAGACCAGAAGGAGCTGGTGGAGTCGCCGCCCTCCGTGGTGGTAGAACTCTACGACAGCGATGCCGTGGTGAGGCTCTGGGCAGTGATCACTGGCCCCCACCCCACCCCACCCAAGGTTACAGGTAGCTGGAGGCTGGGCTAAGACTTGAACCCACGTTTCCTGTGCTCGTGCGGCCCTGTGAGGGGGGTGCCTGGTGTGGCTGCACTCCCTTACACAGGGGGCGCTCTGACTCTCCATGCCACACACTCTCTGGGGTTTACGTTGGGCAGGTATGTATGTTTATGGAGTATGATTTCTACTGTTTTCAGTGTACTACAAGGCTTACCTCACTTTACTGCACTTCACCCATAACTGCGTTTTTACAAATTGAAGGTTTGTGACAACCTAACATTGAACAAATCGATAGGTACCATGTTTCCAATAACATTTATTTACTTTGTATCACATTTTGGTCATTATCACATTTCAACCTTTGTTGTATTGCATACTTCAGGGACTACAATGTAGTATAAACATAACTTATGCACTGAGAAACAGCAAATTGGTAATGACTCACTTTATTACAATATTTGCTTTATTGAGATTATCTGGAAGCAAACCTAAAATAGCTCTGAGGTACATCTGTATAGATTTTCAATAGAGAGGGACACAAACTAAGTACCATTCAACATTGTTCCTAACAAGATGCCTCCAACCCTAACAGTTTTTTATTTGAAATCCAACAACAGCAGACAGGGATCATTGAAACCTCCTGCTAAGCAAAATCCACTTCTAGATGGAGTCCCCTTTGCTTTCTGATCCTTCTAGATTTCCGTTCAGTAATGGCCTTCCTGGGCACTGACCCTGGCCAAGCCCTTCACAGGAAAAGCAAGCATACTTAAATTGAAAGGGAAATGAAGGAGAGAAAGAGAGTGTAGACCATTTGTACTTTGCTCAGAGAGATAGATACAGACATGCAGAAGGTCCCGTTCATACATGTTGTTGTTATTAAGTGCCGTCGAGTTGGTTCCAACTCACAAGGACCCTATGTAGGGTTTCTGAGGAACAGCTGGTGAGTTTGAATTGCCAACCTTGCAGTTCGAACCTACCTTGCAGTCCAATGCTGATCATACAGGGTCACACCAGGACTCTTCATACATGTTGGCTGAAGCTAAGTCAGAACCACACTGCAAAGGTGGTGATCAGATTACTGGAATTTGATTCTTCCAGACCTGCTTCAGTCTAGAACTTTCTCCCATCACTCCGTGACTTGTGCCCTCATTACAGCCTGCTGGTTCTGTAGGGAATGAGTTTATATTTAGCAAGTTAGTTACTTAGATTTAAGTTTACTTTTTTCTGGCCACAGCTAATTTTCCTTAACTCTTCCCAGCTGAAGGAGATCTTGGGGCACAGCTGGCTAAGCACTGGGCTGCTAACTACAAGGTCATGGGTGCAAACTCACCAGCTGCACCTTGGAAACCCCATACAGGATTGCTGTGAATCAGAACCAACTCGACAGCACTTAACAACACCAACAATATATATATAAATTCTGTTAGACAAGCAATGGACTGTAAACCACAAGGTTGGAGGTTTGACCCACCAGCTGCTTTGTGGGAGAAAGATAAGGTTTTCTTTTCCCACAAATGTGCTAACCTTGCTGGTTAGCAGTGCAGTGCTTATCCTACAGCATCACAAGTGCTCGTATATAGACACACATACAAGCATATATACACATACAAGCAAGTATAATATCCTTTTTATTACCCAATTAATATTAAGCACAGCTATCTCTTCATTTAAAGATATTTACCTACCTTCTCCTCATCATCCCCATGATCATTTCTTCTGATGGATTGACCATTTAGTATATAGCAGCCACAGTGCATCAGTGTCAGGTTACCCAGTAAACAAGATAAGCATAAGCTTACTTACTAATCTGCAGTGAACAATTTCACATTTTTCACCAAATCAAAGATTTTGCTTCTTGGTCTGGCTGGCCTCTGTCTCTCTGCCAACCGCACAGAACCTTCCTACAGAATCAAAGCCTCTTTTCAAATTCACAATCCCTAATAGGGATGGGAGTGCCCTTTGAGTTCCACCACATCTTTATTTATCTCTACTACATCTTTGATGCAAAACTGCTCACCACAAATTAGTAAGCAAGCACGAGTAAATTCATTCTTAGACTGCCTTCAGCATAATCCAACACTGAGTTTAGATATCATGATAAAGTTCTTCTCACAGTCCTGTGGAATGGGTATTGTTTGAACCTCTTTTAGGTATGAGGCTCAAAAGGTGGAATATTTGGCTCAAGGTCTGGAGCTAGAAAGTAGCAGGTTTGGGGATTCAAATTCAGGTTGCTTGGACTTCAAAACTCATGTTCCCAGCCTCACTCATGCCTTACTCTGGAGGTCCTTTGGAACATCTGTTGTTCTTGTTGTGTTGTGTGTCATTGTGTTGGTTCCGACTCATAGCAACTCTGTATCAGGTTTCTGAGAGTGGCTGGTGGGTTTGAACTCCCAACCTCACAGTTACCAGTCCAGCGCCTGTCCTACAGCACCCGGGCTCATTTGCTGTTGTTAAGTGCCCTTGAGTCGATTTCTAACACACAGAGACACTGTATAGGGTTTCTGAGGCTTTACATCTTCATAGGAGCAGAAAGCCTCATCTTCCTCCTGAAGACTGACTGGCAGGCTTGAACCATGGACCTTGTGGTTCTCAGTCCAGTGCTTATTGTATGGTGTCACTGCACTCCCAGGGCTCATGAGCTGTTGTGTTAAGTGTCATCCAGTTGGTTCTAATTCATAACAGCCCAAAGAGCAGTTAGTGGGTTTGAACTGCTGACCTTGTGGTTCACAGTCTAGTGCTGATCCTACAGAGCCACACCAAGACTCCAGTGCTCATTTGGTGCCCCCTTATATCTCCCTTATCCTTCAAATCTACCCCAGAGGTCATTTTACTCCCCTGAGCTGAGGAGAGTTACCCCTCCCTGCTTTAATTACCTAGTACCTCGTCGTCCTGGTGTGATGCTGTAAGTAAGCAGTAGACTCAAGCATGGTTTGAACCGCAAGGTCCGCAGTTCAAATGCACCAGCTGCTCCTCGGAAACCCTATATACAGGGTCGCTATGAGTAGGAACGTACTCCACAGCACACAACAACAACAAGAAGTGATGCCGTAATACATAAACCACAAGTGGGTGACTGTAAAAAACAGAAAGTTATTTTTTCATAGTTGAGACAGCCAGAAGTCCAAATGCAGTGTATGGTTCTAGGCAGAGGAACTTCCTTGTCTATTTCAGCTTCTAGTAACCAACAGTCCTTGCAGTTCTGGGGCTTGTAGGCTCTCTGTCTCCCTCACCATCAGATCTTACAACTATCTGCCCGTGTCTCTGTCATCACCGCTCTTTATACAACTCAGAAGTGACTAGGGATGATCTCAACCGATTGATTAATCACATTGATTAAACTGCATTTTGGATGGTGATTATAGTACATTAAATTAGATTATATCTGCAGGCATACAAGTTAGGGTTCCAACACATATTTTTTTAGGGGGGGGGAGATATAATTCAACTCATAACATCCTCTAAAATAACCCTCGAGCAGGAATCCCCTCAGATGACCCTCTGAGAGTTTTTCCTGGAAGCCTGAATGGATTCCACTGTTCCCCAAGCCATTGGAAAAGAGTTAGAAAAGGTTGGCAGAGGAAGAGGAGGAGACTGGACAAGAAGGAGGCTCTGATGCTGACAATACCCAGACGATTGTTTGCAAAATTGCATTCACAGGAGTCGGGATCTAGAATGTAACACTAGGGACAAAAGTCTCTTTCTTTTCTGCCCTAACAGGGAAAGCCTGAATATTTGGGTTCCACAGTGGCCGCTCCTGTTGTGAAGCTGGCTGACCAGGACTATGAGCCACCCAAGTTGAGTTATCACCCCATCTTTTGTGGGAACCTCTCTGGAGGGGACCTCCTCGCTGTATTTGAACTTCTGCAGGTAAGTGTACCAGAAATGGTGGCTGTATTAGACATCTGTTCCGTTGCCTTGGTTGAAGACATAGCCCGCTCCAAAAGTCTCTTCAATGAAAGTGGTACCTGGCCCTTCCTGCTGTCATATGTCTCAAAGTGTCTTATTATGGAGACCTGGGTGGTTCCTAACTCAGGTGACCTGGGCTCTTCCCAGATCCCTAGGCGATAAGTCAGAATCTCAGGAACAAAGAGCCTTATGGATTTGGTCAACAATGCCTGAGCTCCCTACAAACTGAGAGGGCATGAAGAGGTTATAAGCAAACATTTGAGGATCCTTACTATGTGCCCAAGAGTCCTGGTATAGTGCTGTAGGATAAGCACTGGACTGCTAACTGTAAGGTTAGTGGTTGAAACCCACCAGCTACTCCCTGGAAACCCTCTCCAGGGTTGCTATGAGTCAAAACCGACTCAGTGACACTTAACAATAACAACAACCCTGTGCCCAAGGAGCCCTGGTCGTACTGTGGGTTATGCATTGGACTGCTAATGGCAAGATAAGCGGTTCAAACCAACCAACTACTTTGTGGAAGAAAGGTGAAGCAGTGTGCTCCAGTGAAGATTTAGGCTCCGAATTCCTATATAGGGTCACTGTGAGTTGAAATTGACTCAGTGGCAGTAGGCTTGGTTTGAGTTTTCTTACCATATGCTCAAGGAGCCTTGGTGATGCAGTGAGTTAGTTGTGTGTTGGGCTGTGAACAGCAAGATGAGGAGTTCAAACCCACCAGCGTCTCTGTGAGAGAAAGCTGAGGCTGTCTGCTCCCATAAAGATGTATAGCCTTGGGAGCTCTATGGAGCAGTACTGCTCTGGCCTGTGGGGTTGGTGTGAGTCAGAAGTCACTCGATGACAATGGAGTTGGGGTTTGGTTTGGTGCCATGTGCTGAGAGACGTGCTAGCTGCTTCATGGAGTTTTCATCACAGTGGTTCTCCCACAGTCCTGCTGGGATGGGCATTATCATTCCCACTTTACAGAGAATAAACTGAGGATTAATAGGAGTCCTGGTGTGGCACTATGGGATAAAGCACTGGAATGCAAAGTCAGTTTAAACCACAGGTTGGTGGTTCAAACTCACCAGCTAGTTCTTGGAAACTCTAGACCAGGGTTGCTGTGAGTCTAGAGGTATGCTTGGTTTTCAGCATAAATGCAGGCAGTTGGTGGGTTGTGGTCTCTTGCTGATGGTCAGGAGCACAATCTGAGGAATTGTTAACATTGGACGTAGAACACAGTGTGGGCCACAGGGTGCAGTAAACCCCAGGCTTGTTAGTTGTGAGTAGAACTCACTTCTGAAAAGTTTGGGGCACTTTCAACTTCTCATTTGTTTCACTCTAGCAACTCTCAAGGGTCCTGGTTTTTATTTTTGAAAAGTTTTATAAACCAAGGGGTGGGGTGGGGAGCTAGAACTAGCTGTGTCCAGACAGTATGTCATGTAGAAACATGGACTTCTGGGTCAGCAGTAACTTCCAAACCATCGGGTCCAGTGATTTTAGGTCACTCTGAGGTTGAGCTGTGAAGAATACTGAATGGAGAGGAGGGGAGGGAGTTTTAAGTACTCATAGGAACACAGCTCTGAGTTCTGTTGTGGTGCCAAAGGTAAGCGTTCGACCTCACGGTTGGTTTGAATCGCATGGTTGGCGGTTCAAACCATCAGTTGCTCCTCAGAAACCCTATACAGGGTCACTATGAGTCAGAACTGACTCAATGGCATTTAACAGCAACAACCAGGAGCACTGCTGGGAGTAGCTTGGATGCTTTTCTGTCAACAGCATTTCTCATGATTGCAACCTCCTGTTTTTCTAAGAACGAATGGAGGGTGAGGCTCAGCAGCTCCGGAAAAGATCAATAGCTAGTTAGCTGTGAATAACACTGCTTTGTTTTGATTGCTTTGCTTTTTTTAGGTTACTTTCCATTTGTGGCAAGTGGCACATGCTTTACTTAACAACATAAAGTTTCCTTTTTAGAAACCAAACCCTAACCCACTGCCACTGAGTTGGTTCCTACTCAGAGTGACCCTGTATAGATCAGAGTTGAACTACTCCTTAGGGTTTCAGAGACTGTCACCTTTCTGGGAGCACACAGCCTCATGTTTCTGCCTTGCTGAGTTTGAACCTTGTGGTTAGCAGCCCAATGCTTAAACCCACAGTGCCACCAGGCTCCTGAAAAACAAACAAATAAACCTGTATCAAATACAAAGACGTTTACTGGATTCCTGGTGTGGCACTGTAGGGTCAGCACTGGACTGTGAACTACAAGGTCAGCAGTTCAAATCCACCAGCCACTCCTGGGACACCCAATATAGGGCTTCTATGGGTCGGAACTGACTCAACAGCACTTAACAAGAATAACAATAGATGATAGAAGAAGGGCTTACTTAGAAAACGTGGTCTAGTTCTACCATCCCATTTTATATGTGGAAAAGCTGAGGCACCAGTCAACTGGTCTTTTCACTATACTAAGCTTCCATAAAAGCAATGGTGGGTCAATGGTGGCATTCTTGACTTCCGTACCTGAGGCTGGGTCCAATGACTGGCCATTGCACTTCTTGTACAGCCGCTACCTGAAGTCCCTCAGGGGAGCCTTGCATGCTGCTATGATAGTGAACAGGTTTTGATGAAACTTCTAGACTAAGAGGAACTAGGGAGAAAGGCCAATAGACACCCATTAGATCACCTGATTACGGTGATCCCTGATCATGGGTGGCACAAAGCTGGTCGCCACAGACTCTGTGAATAGAATCCAGTAATCTTAGTCCCATGTTCCCACCTCCCATCCTTCCTCCTTGAGAGGCTGAACTGACTTAATAAAGGAAGCATTGTCAGAAGTAAGTGGCCTAAGAGATACAATTCATTAGGGGTTCATTAGGACTTCCTCTCATTTGATTACTTGTTTCAAAAAGTAATTTGATCATCAGCTAGACTCCCTTAAGCATGTGGGTCTCATACATGCTGAGAAGATGGAGCTGGGAAATGCCTCCATTTATCACCAGCTGCTTTCAGTTTTCATCTACGAATGACTTCCTCCAGTCTCCCCATCACTGAAATGCTTCCCTGTCTCAGAAGAGGGATTCAGGACCTTGTTTTTCTATGTCCCTAACTGAATTCACTACTTCCATTTGCTCATCTACTCGAGCTAGCTCCTCACCTGTCATCTCAGTTCCAGTTCATAACCCCACATAACTTGAAAACTCAGGGTCACTCTTGGCTCTTCACACTGCATCTATGTCCACAGCCAACCCAGTCCCATTGGCTGTTTCTTGAAGGGTTCCCATCTTCCCCATTCCTATGGACTGTCTCATATCTGAAAGTTAGGTTGGTCTCTCTGTTGGGCTGCTAGCCTCCTGTTCTTTTCCTCCTCCAAATTACAGCCACTGGTCCTGTGCCATCCTTACAATTGTAGTTATGTCTCAGCCCATTACTGCTGTCACTGTGCTAATACATCTCATTGGGGGTCTTCCTCTTTTTCTCTGACCGTCCACTTTACCAAGCATGATGTCCTTCTCTAGGTACTGGTCCTTCCTGAAGTAGGACATGCTATCCTGGCCTCTGTTCTATGTTGTAATTAAGTGCCACCAAGTCAGTTCCAGCTCATAGAGACTCTGTACAGGATTTCCAAGGAGCAGCTTGTGGGTTTGAACCACCAACCACCATCCTATAGGGTCACTGTAAGTCAGAAGAGACTCAACAACTGTGCGTTTGGTTTTTCGCATTTTGCCCACTCCTGATTTTTATCTTCATTGTGGTTCTTGTAAAGTGCAATCGAGTTGGTTCCAACTCACAGTGACCCTGTATAGGGTTTCCTAGGAGCGGCTGGTAAGTTTGAACCACTTGCCTGGTGGTTCAAACTGACCTTGCAGTCTAGCGCTTTACTCCACAGCACCACACCCCGACTCTTTTTACCTTCATAAGTCTCCCTTACTTTCCCCTGTTGCATGTGTCTTGGTGGCACAGTGGTTCAGCATTTGGCTGCTAACCAAAAAGTCAGCATTTCAAACCCACCAGCTGCTCCTCAGGAAAAAAAGTGGCAGTTTGCTTCCATAATGATTACGGCCTTGGAACGCCTACAGGGCAGCTTTACTATGTACTGTCTATGGAGTCCTGGGGGGACGCTGTGGCTTAATGCACCAGACTGCAAAGCCATTTGAACTGCAAGGTTGGCGGTTCAAGCTCACCAGCTGCTCCTTGGAAACCACTCAATGGCACTTCACAACAGCAACAAAGTCTATCAGTGTGGTCCCTATGAGTCTGAATCAACTCAACAACAGTGGTGAGTAATTGCACACGATGCAGTTTTATAGGCTAGCAGTTGGCCCATCCCACTGTGAAAAATGTTTGCTCTTGGATGGGACCATATCTCCTCCCTGCAGTGGAACCTTCCAGGGCCGTATTGGAATTTTTAGGGCTTCTGTCAGACATTCAAGGATCAAAGCTCTTTAGGGCATAACCCAGGCGGGCCCTCCATGGCCTCAGGGTGAGGAAACAGATGCTGCTTTTTAGAAAGCACACCCAGAGGCCACCTCTTCTATGCCACCCCCCCCACCCCCCCCCCCCACCCCGCTGTTGTAGCTGTGCCTCTGGAGCCTCACAGGTTGAATTTCTCACCTGTTGACTGAGGCCGTGTTGAGTGTACACCCTCATCACATCTTAGCTCCTTTATTGGATCTGGTTTCTTCTGCAGTTTTATTACCTTCAGCCTCTTTGGTAGTTCAGTGCCTGCTCTCTTCCTTTTCTGAACTTTCTTATAATTATCTGTGAACCACATCTGCCATTACCAACTAGACTACGTCTGTGAAGGAGACAGGTGATACATTTGGGCTTTGCAGGTTCTGATGAACAATTGGGCTTTTTCTCTAGCTTGTGGAGCACATGGAGCTAGTGTGTCAGTCAGTCAGTCCATAAACATGCATCAAGAGCCTAAGGTGTAGGGAGCATTGCTGGAGGGACTTGGAAAAGGCAAATAAAGCCAACAAAATTTTCCTTTTGGCCAATTCTCTGTACATTGTTCAGGCAGACAAATGATCCCATTTAGGAGACTGGCCATCTCCAAAGCAATGCTTTCTAGCACATTCCACTCCTGAGAGCTCTGGGGGCTCTGGTGCAATATCAAGATCTCTATGTGGAACAAATAGCGTTTACTCAACTGCTAACTGAAAGGTTGGGTGGTTCAGACTCACCCAACAGCGCCATGAAAGAAAACCTGGTGATATGTTTTTGTAGATCATAGTCAAGAAAACCCTCTGTGGCCGTTTTGCTCTCTAACACCTTAGCTCGCCATGAAGTGGGATTGACTTAACAGAAGTTGGCTTGTTTTAGTTTTTGTTTGTTTTGATGCAATATCTGAGGCCCAAGGTTCAAAGGTTGGTTTTATGCAGTGGCATCAAGATAAATGGAGAATGGCTTTATTGGCTGTTTCACTGATGAAGATGTAGTCTCTGCTGTGGTTAAATATGAATCTCTTTTGTAGCAAGCTTTATGGCCATTCTAGGGATCATGACACTCTGGAAATAGGAGACTAGCTAAGACTCCAAGGCTCCATACCAGCCATTTCACAGCTGTTGGGATCCTGGTGTGGTGCTGTAGGAGAAGTACTAGACTGCTAACCACAAGGCTGAAGGTTCAAAACCACCAGCTGCTCCTTGAAAACCCTACAGGGTCACTAGGAATTGGAACTGACTTGATAGCACTCAACAACAGTTCCTGTGTATTCTTTTGAGGATTTATCCACATGCCTTTTTCTCTCCTTTCTATGCCATGAGCTCACTAAAAGCTATGTCTTATTTTTACCTCTTGGTGCATAACCCACTAACCCAAACTACTCCTATCATGTGGGTTGGATTAGTGGGCTTGGGTCCTATATAGCAATCCCGTAGGACAGAGTAGGAGTGCTCTGAGGGTTTCTGAGACTGTAAATCTTTATGGAAACAGACTGCCTCATCTGGTGGGGTTTGAACTACCAACATTTCAATCAGCAGTCCAGTGCTTAACCCATAGTGCTACCAGGGCTCCCGATGTGTAAGTGGTTAATACATGAGATTGTCCTTAAAAATGAATGCATTTATCTATTTATAAATAAGTGTGGTAAAATGCATGGTCCTTATAACATTTCCAGCTGGAGACGTTACTGTTGTTGATAAAACAGTGAACATCACACTGATGAAACAGTCGTGGGACTCCACTGGCCTTCCTTACTTCCTCCTACCAACCTCCTAACCAGTGCTTATTTTTGTGTTGTAGGTTCCTCCATCTGGGCCACAAGGGCTCCCTCCTGTTGATCCACCAGACGTAGCCCAGATCTACCCGGTTCCTGCCAACATCCGGCCTGTGCTGAGTAAATACAGAGTGGAGGTACAGGGCAGGGAAGCATCAAGTTGTTCTTTAAAATGAAAGGGCAGTGAATGTGTGTACATTGGGCGAGGGGCATTGAGGGATAGATAGGAGACCTAGAGCCAAACCCAGCTTGCTCATGACCAGATGGAGTCCTTGTAGAGCGCCAGCTCATTCCTGGAAGAACAACTTGTTGCCTCCAGAAAACATATCTGATTTCTATCCCATGGCCAGGGCACCCATGCTGCCTCTCTTTGGGTCTTTGAATGACACCTCTGCTGGTCTTCTCCTCAGGTTCTCTTCTGGGGAGTCCGAGAAATGAAGAAGGTGCAGCTCCTCTCAGTGGACCGTCCTCAGGTTCTCATTGAGTGTGGGGGGCGAGGAATCAAGTCCTCTGTGATCCAGAGCTACAAGAATAACCCCAACTTCAGTGTCCAGGCAGATGCCTTTGAAGTGGTAAGAGTCTCTTCCTCTCCAGCCTGCCTGCCCTTGACTTTCTCCATCCCCAGATGGGACCCTCTCCTTCAGTAACCTGACTTGGGGAGATATGCTGGAGTTTCAGATGTCTGCAAGAAAGAGCAGTCTAATTCAGCAAAAAGTCAGAATTCAGAGTAGGAGAAGATGGATTTTTGTAGTTCGGTTTAGTTTTTAAGGATTTCAAGTACAGATCATACAGTAAATCAAAGTGAATTGACAAAGCAGACCATAAGTGGTTCCCGAAGGGTGGTCCCACATAAGCAGCAACAGCATCACCTGGGACCCCTCGACCAATCTGAAGGAGTCCTGGTGGCACAATGATCAAGCGCTCAGCTGCTAAGTCACACTTTGGTGATTCAAACCCACCAGCCAAGCCTTGGAACCCATATACAAGGCTAGTGTGAGTAGGAAGCAACTGGATGGTACTTCACAACAACAAGAGTGAAAGAATGTGCAGAGCGTTTGCCATCCTGTCCCACTGGGCTTCACTGAACCTGAGGGACACTGGGAGAGACAGGTGGGTAGGGTCTGGCCTGACCCCCAGTTTCATTTTCAGTTACATAATCTTTATGTGTTTTATATGTTGGATTTAGTTAAGCTTTTCATTGTAGGTGAGCATTCTTGCTAGTAAATAATGAAAAGATCAAAAACTGCAAGCATTGAGAATGTGGAAGTTGTAGTTTTTACAATTTAAACCTGGGATGACTGGGTAGTAAGACATTCCTGATGTTGAGGCTGTTCATTGCTGTCAAGTCGATTCCGACGCATGGTGACCGTGTGGGCCGAGTAGACCTGCTCCATAGGGTTTGTTTTCAAGGCTGTGACCTCTCCAGAGCAGATCTCCAAGCCTTTCTTCTGAGGTATCTCTAGGTGGATTCGAGCTGTCAATCTTTTGGCTGGTAGTTGAGTGCTTCACCATTTGTGCTATTCAGAGACTCCCTCATATTTTAGGGGTGGACACTGAAGAGTAGCTTCAGATGTGGCCTGAAGGGACAGAAAAGCAAAGAGGGATTAAGGGAGAATGTGTTCCTGGTCAGCTTTGGTTCTGCTCCACAGACAGAGTGGCAGGGCCTGAGCACCAACCTACCCCAGACAGGACCCACACTTTTTTTCCCAGCACTTGCTGAGAGCTGCCTCTGCCCACAGGAGCTGCCTGAGAATGAGCTCCTGCATCCACCCCTGACCATCTGCGTGGTGGACTGGAGAGCCTTCGGGAGGAGCACCCTGGTGGGAACCTACACCATCAACTGCTTGAAGCAATTTTTGAGCAAATCCAGGGAGCCCCCTGCCCTCATCTCTCAAGTGGACGGAGCCCAAGTTGGACAAGGTAAGAGGCTCCTCCTAGATTATTGTTGTTAGGTGCCATTGAGTCAATACCAACTCATAGCAACTTTATGCACAGTGTAACGAAACACTACCTGATCCTGCACCATGCTCACAATCATTGCTGCGCTTGAGCCCATTACTGCTGCCACTGTGCCAATCCATCTCGGGGGTCATCCTCTTTTTCACTGACCCTTCACTTTCCCAGGCATGATGTCCTTCTCCAGGGACTGGTTCCTCCTTATAATAATATACCCAAAGAATGAGAGACGAAGTCTGCCCATCCAGACTTCTAAAGAGTTTTCTGTCTGTATTTCTTCCAACACAGATTGGTATATTCTTTTGGCTGTCTATGGTACTTAAAAAAAAAAAAAATTATATATATATATATGCTTTTATTGTGAATTGAGTGATAGTTTACAGGGTAGAACATCAGTTTTGCACTCAACCAATCATATTTTATTTCACTGCAATGATTATAATACCCTCCATCCATCCATAGTACCTTTAATATTCTCCTTCAACTCAAATGCATCAATTCCTTTAAGGTCTTCCTTATTCATTATCCAACTTTCAAATGCATATGAATTTATTGAAAATACCATGACTTGGATCAAGTGATCCTTAGTCCTCAAACTGATATCTTTGCTCTTTAACACTTTAAAGAGGTCTTGTGCAGTAGATTTGCTTAATGCGATATGTCATTTTATTTCTTGACTGCTGTTTCCATGAGTGTTGATGGCTGATCCCAACAAAATGAAGTCTTTGACAACTTCAATTTTTTTCTCCGTTTTATCTTGATGACATTTATAGGTCTAGTGGTGAGGATTTTCTTTTCTGTGCAACCCATACTGAAGGCTGTGGTATTGGATCTTCATCAGTTAAGTATTTTAGGTCCTCTTGGCTTTCAGCAAGCAAGATTGTATCTGCATATTATGGATTGTTAATGAGGCTTCCTCCAACCCTGATGCCACATTTTTATTTATATAATCCAGTTTCTCACATTTTTTGCTCAGCATACAGATTGAACAAATATGGTGAAAAAATACAACCTGGCACATACCTTTCTTAGTTTTAATCCATTTTAATCCATTTGGTGTTCCCTTTTTCTGTTCAAACAACTGCCTTTTGATCTATGCACAAGTTCCTCATGAGCACAATTAAGTATTCCATAATATTCATTGTCTGCAATGTAATCCATAGCTTGTCATGATCTATCCAATTGAAAGTCTTTCTGGTAGTCAATAAAGCACAGGTAAACATCTTTCTGGTATTCTCTGCTTTTAGCCATGATCCATCTGACGTCAACAATGGTATCCCTTGTTCCAAGCCCTCTTCTGAATCCAATATGAACCTCTGACAGCTCGCTGTCAATGTATGGTTGCAGCCACTTTGGAATTACCTAGGTTAGGGAGACTATAATGCAGTGGTACCACAGAGTGCCTGCTCAAAGGAGATGACCCCTGACAGTCATCTGTCTAAAGCATTTGCACCTCTGACAGTTTCTGTCTTCTGTAGCTGACAGACTCTTAGCTAAAGTTTCAAAACAAGATCACCTCCTCTAAGAAGTCTTCCTGGAATTTGACTTGAGCTCCCCACTGTCTCTACTCCCCGACATGCTACTTTGCTTTGTGCTGGATGTGTTTATTTCTTTGGGCTCACTTTGTTGCTGATGATGTTGCTTATTGTAGTTTAGGTGAAAGTTTACAAAGAAAATTATTTTTCCATTCAACAATTTATACACATTTTTGTTTCATGACATTGATTGAAACCCCTCAGTATAACAGCACTCTTTCTACTTCCTCCTTGAGTTTCTTCTTTCTGTTCATCCTTATTTCCTATCCCTTCCAGCCTTCTGAGCTTTGGTTTTGGACACAGGCTGCCCTTTTGGTCTCTTATGGTTGATTGTACTGAGGAGCATATACTTCCCTGGTGTTACAATTCACTTTATTGTCATTAAGTGCCACCGACTTGGTTCCAACTCATAGTGATCCTATGCAGAACAGAACGAAACACTGACAGGTCTTGAACCATCCTCACAACTGTATGCTTTTAAGCCCATTGTTGCTGCCACTTGTCAATCCATCTCATTGTTCTCAAACAGACATCTTTGCTCTTGAATACACTTTACTATTTCCTGT